TTTTCCCAGGCCATGAGTGGAGAGCTGGATTGGCAATTGAGTAGCCAGGGCACAAACCGGTGCCCATATGGGATGCTGGCAATGCAGGTGGTGGCTTTACTGGCTATGCCATAATGGTCCCATGCCATCTTTTCAACCACTCAATTCCAATTAATCTTTCAGGGACATCTGCTTCCTATCAAATTAACCTTTTGCCACTAAAGTTCCTGCTCCCTTGAACCCCAGCTCAAACCAGAAGACCTGTGTGCGGAGATCACAAAGCTTGGCCTGCCACTCAGCTTCTCTTCTGATACTCCGCCTCTCCTCAGCCCATCCCTTCCCTCCCCTTACTGTCCCTGGGTGCCCACAGACATCAGACCTCAGAGCTGTGTGTCACGAGAACACGTGCTCAGAAAAAAAAAAGCACAAATCTGGGCCCGATTTGTCTTTAGAACCAGATGTCTGAAAAGCTCCCTTGACAAAACCAAAAACCTGCCACAAAGAATACGCTCGCCTACTACTCAGGAAATATACTCCTTTCATTGAGAAGTGATGACATGAAATTGAACCGGCTCCCAGGACTGGTTTGAATTACTCTCACCGAGAATGAATACAATAACCTGGAGATTTCCAACTCCCCCTAAAACGAGGTCAGTTTGGCTTTTTGAGGGGAGGGAAGTCTCATTTTATGATCAGGCTTTATAGAAACATGCTGTATCGACTTCATCCACTAAAACCCAGTCACCTTTTAACAGCTGATGCAGGTAACACAGTTGTGCAGGGGCTGTTGCCTACTTGGGAGATATGTTGGAGAATGCAGGGTCCCAGAGCAATGGTGGCTGGCCCGAGAATGATGTGCTGAATATGAAGAAGGGCCACAATCTGGAGACTACCTTAAAAATGGAAGACCTGGGGGAGAGCATCATGGTGCAGTGAGCTGGGCCCCTACCCACGGCACTGGCATCCCATGTGGATGCTGGTTCATGTCCCAGCTGCTTCACTTCCAATCCGGCTCCCTGCTTGTGGCTAGGAAAGTAGCAGAGGTGGCCCAAGGTTTGGGAGCCTGCACCCACATGGGAGACGCAGAATAAACTCCTGGCTTCAAACTGGTCCAGGTCTGGCCATTGTGGTCATTTGTGGGAGTGAAGCAGCAGAGGGAGGAGCTCTCTGTCTCCCCTTCTCTCTGTAATCCTGCCTCACAAATAATTCTAAAATAAACCATGCCAAGACCTGGTCCTCGTAGGGACCTTGAAAGTCCTTGCTGTCATGGCAACTTGATCCACTGCAGATCGCCCCTCAAGCCACAGCAGTGGCTTTGCTTTGGGGGTACAGTGATGTGCCCAGACCAGCCCTGATGCCAGCTGACTTGTGGACTCTCCCCGCCCCAGCCATCTTTAAATGATCTGGGACCCCAGTCTTCTCTTCTTCAAAAAGCCTGGTGTTGACAATGAAATGTCATATCATCTCCACCACGATGGCTCTTATCCAAAAGACAGAGCAAGCAAGGATGCCAGCAAGGAAGTGGGGAAAGGGGGGCTCTGATAGTCTTTGTGGGAATGTGAATTAGTGCAGCCACTAATGCCATTAACTGTGGAAAACAGTGTGGGGAGTTCCTAAGAAACTAGAAATAGACTTGCTGTATGATCAGTAGTCTCTGATATATTTCCTCCTGGGTATAGACCCCAAAGACATGACCACATTTATTAAACAGATAGCTGCACCACCATGTTGATGGCAGTACTGCATGCAAGAGACAACAAATGGAATTAACCAAGGCGTCCCTTATTAGCTGAATGGATAAATTATATACACACACAATGGAATATTATCCAGCCATCAAAAAGAACAGAATCATACCATTTGCAGAAAAATGAATGCAACTGGAGGACATCATGTCGTGCAAAGCCAGCACATCCCCTTCAAGAAAGAAATGCCTACATGTATCGGTTTTTGCTGCAAATTCCGTTTTATCAAACTTTGTTTTAAATTTCAATTAAACAAAGCATTCATTATATACTACTGTAATTCAAAGAAAAGACAAAAGGCTGGTGTTGTACCAAAGCAAGTCAGGTCCCCTATTGCTTTAAAGTGCAGTGATTCCTACAAGGAAAGCTGTCATCGGAATTAGACTCTTCTTCTGTTATCCTCTGGATACAAAATGACAGGGGCAGGAAGCTTTCCCACCGGGACAGGAACAGAGGGTAGAAGCTGGCCAATAGGAAAAACAGCTGTGAATAGTTACGAAGTAACAACTAGGACAGTCCCAGCAGCCAATCCCAGCTTCCAAATCCCAGCCCAGCACACTTGCCCTGCCCTTGACCAAGCCTAAGACAAGGACACCATTCAGAAGTCATGGTCACAAGCATCCTCTCCTCTGTGCCATTTTTATCAAGAGTCCCTGTGGAGATCCCTGTGGATTTCCCTTAAGGTGGAAAATGCCAGTCCTCACTGGCAGCAAGCCAGTCAGACTTTCACAGGTGCACCTATTTCAAGTGAGATGGTGCAGGCGGAGTCTTGAGCTTTCAGGAAAACACGGTGCTAGCTGTCATGTGTTCCATGTTCCCAGTCTTACAACCAAATAAAGAAGCAGTCACAGTGATGGAAAAATGTATTTCACAGTCATTACAAAAGTACATGTATTCAATCACAGTGACATAAATACAGTCCTGACTCCCGACCGAATCATACATTTACAATGGACTTTTTCCTCCCGAGCTTCACGTGACAGCAGCCCTGTGGTTTCCACTGGTGGAGATCACAGGCACGGGCCGATGGAAGACACTCACAGGTCAGACAGACAACACACCTCATACTTTCCAAAGGGCTGGTCAAGTCTTCCATATAAATATAATAAAATAATAAAGCATTAATCATTTCTCCATTGACTTGGTTACATAGATTCGTCAGGTGCTATCACACATGTTTGTGCGCGCGCGCGCACACACACACACACAGTACTCACAGTTTATCCCCTTCCTCACTCTGCCTTCGTGCTTACTGGAATAAACCTGAGTTCAAATCCATGTAACCAAACTGCAACAACCATGAGGGGCAGGATGCAGCCGCTACCCCTGAAACTCATGTAGATGGGAGACAGGTTCTCTCTGGGCTACCAGCAGCACGGAGAAGGCGTGCGTTCTTGGAGAAGGGGTGAGGGGAGAAAGAAAACGAAAAAATAAAAAGACAAAAGGGGCTACAGAAAGCTCACCACCACCTACAGGCACACACCCGGCGAGCTGACAGGGTAGAACAGCTGCAGCTGGAAACCATCCTCCCAAAAGGAACCCCCTGCGATGATCGGAAGTCCCAGCATCCTGGGTCCGATGAGAAGAAACATCTGACAGAGGAGTTCTTTCTTCTCTCTGCTTTAATCGGTTCCCTTTTCTAGGTGAAATCCTGCACTTTGGTCCATAGGAAAGGAACATCAGCACCCAGGAGTTTGCCCTTCCTCCTAGTGTACCCTGGAGTTGGAGCAACCCCCCACCGCAGCTCCAGCCAGTCCCCAGGAAGGGCTTCAACAGCCCTAGGTTCCCACCATGGGCACCCAGCACAGAGGTTTCTCAGTCACTCCTGGGGGCAGCCAAAGATGTGTCGTCTCCTTGTTCACCTGGAGATGCGCAGGGTCAATGGACGAATGTCACTGGCTGATGAGAAACCAAGATCCACTCGGCCACTCTCCAGCCAGGGCTGGCCTCCAGGCAAATGTCATTGGCTTGCAGTGGGCAAGGATGCTGGCACACTGTGGACTCCACCAAGAACTGCAAAGCCAGCCTGCGATGGCCACAGTACTGATGTCATCAAAGACTCTGAGCCACCAGGCTGTTCATCTAAACGACCGGCTATGCACCCTGTGCCAGGCACCTTCCTTGCCACCCTGCTCTCTGTCATCCATGTGGCCCGTGTGGAGGTAGCCCCCATCTGGCTCTAGCTCGTGACGGTCAAGACACCACTGGGGTCCACAAAACACACGTAGGACACAAAACCACAGACACCTCTTTGGTTCAATCCTTGGCAAAGGTGTGAAGACACAACACTTTGGGGACCCTGCTGGAGAAAAGCTGTTTGTTCCAGGGAAGAAGACCATCTTGTACTTGGCCATGTTCTCTGCCAGGCAGTTCACAGTGAACAACATGAGCTGCAAACCACACCTGCTTCTGGAAGCACACAGAAGAAACAGGGTCTTCTGGTCATCCAAATTCTGCCATGGCCATCCTTGTGTTTCTTCCTAAGGAGCCAGCTGCAACCGGGCTCTCTTGGGAGGATGGGGGGGGGGGGGCTATGTTGACACAGTGGGGACAAACACAAGGTAGCTGGGGTCCTGGGTCCCCATGGGCCACTGGCCCTGCAGCTGCCAATGCCGGCAGAACTTCTGGTGAGGCACACACTTGGTGGAACAGCTTTTCATGGCTACAGCCTGGTGTTCTCAAACATGAAGTCATTTCCATTTAGCCATATCCCAAAGTAAGAGATCTTTTTGGAAGATCATTCAACCATGAGCAAGTTGCAACTGAAGCATTAAAAAATAAATCTGTCAAAATCGTGTTCGGGAAATGAGTGCACTCTTTAGCTGTTTTCTTTCATCAAGGTTCCCAATGGTTTCCTCTTTGTCCAAAGCTCCTCCTGTAGCTTGCTCTCTCTGGCTTGGGAGTTCCCTGTGGCCTTGGAAGGATCCCCCACCAAGGAGCCTGTGGTCTTTGTCATGCTGTGGGTCCCCATGTGAGTGAGGCCAGCTGAAGTGAGGACATAGAGGAGGATATAGTGACTGTCCTGGCAGTGGCCCAGGGACCCTCTCCCCACACTTTTCCTGCAGAGGAAGTGGGCAGAGGAAGAGGATGGCATGATTGAAATGGCTGTGCTTGCAGCCAGTTTTCCTTGCCATGTCCAGGGGTCCCTGGCAGAGGCTCGCGTGCTACAGGCTCGGAGTCTGTGCATTTTGGATGTTTCCTGGCTGGGGTGGCAGAAGGGTGCACCTGTGAGGTCTTCTCTCCTCAGAGAGCCTCAGACTCCACCAGGCCCCCTAGCTAGCACTGGCCCTTGATGCCATCTGCCAGGTCGAAAGGCAAGCTTCCTGGGGACGAGGCCTGCAGAGGGGGCAGGCTGGCCTCCAGGGCCCTCTCCGCCAACGGCTGCAGGCTCTGGTGCCTCTTACGCAGCATTTGCCCAATGCCCATCATGGGAAACCTGCCCCGGCTCTTCACACAAGGTGGGCTGCCCAGTGGCTGTGGGGTGCCCGGGGGTGGGGAACACACACCCTCTTCTTTGGTGCTCTTGTCTTCATGGGCAAAGGAGACCAGAGTGGGGTGCAGAGAAGTCTGGAGCAGCGACCCGCTGCCAGGGGGCGGCCCCGGGGACAGCGTCCGCTCACTGGAATTCCTGCGGGCCAGGCCCGTGGGTGAGTTCAGGATCCTGTAGTGATGGGATGGGGACAGCAGTTCCGTGGAGTCATCACGATCTACGGACTCGAAGGAGTGCACCAAGTCCAGCAGCAGGGGGTCCTCCTTGGAGGTGAGGCAGGTGCTTGCAGGCCCCTGCTGATGGGGCTCTAGTTTCTTTACAATCCTGGGGGTCCTGGGTGGCGGCACCGGGATGAACTCCATGGAAGAGGAAGTCACACAGTTGGAATCAGAGGTCTTGCGGAAGATGTTGCGGCAGCCAAAGGTTTCTGTGCACCAAGAAAGTAAATCAGGAGGCCACTCATGATGTGAACACTGCCCAGCCACAGAAGCCACTCCCAGGCAGCCATGAAGACCACGCCCAGAAGCCACACCCATTGAGTCATGGTAACTACTCCCTTGTCCTTCTCTGGCCTGCCCAGGCTGCCAGCTAGACTGCACAGCAACCATAGCATGGCCATGTATGGCCATGGCTGCCCAGAACCAGAGGGAAGAGCAGTGTTCACCCTCGCCACTGGGGCCCACTCCACCATTCCAGGGTAGAATGGCAGAAGGCCTCCTGAATAGTCCTTTGCCCCACAGTCCCAGCTTCACACCTGCTCCCTTGCAGCCTGCCAGAGCCTCTGAATAGAAAAGGTATACATGCTTGACACAACCTCCACAAAACTCCTGGGTACACATAAGCACCCATCCAGCCTGGTCCTCAGGGTAGGCCACACTGGAAGGCTCTCTCTCCTTCCGGCCCCTCTGCCTCATCTACTTCTTGTAAAAAGTGAGCAGCAGAAAATGCAGTCTTGACACTTCCCGGAGTATGGTACAGCAGCAGTGTCCACTCTCCAGCAGAACCTGGCTCCAGATTTCTACACCTTGCCAACCCAATACTCCATACCCCTCGACACTGACTCCTCAACCCCTCTCCCACCATGCCACTTTCTGACCACTGTAGGAGTTTCCTTCTGTGCTCAGCTCACAGCACTTACCACCATATCTCCTGCCCTCAACCCTGCACAGCAGAGCTCAGGATTCCCTTCTCGTATGAGGGTCCTCCTGACTTGCAGTTTCTGGCTGGGCCTCCCCCAGCTTGGCCCTGGGGCACAACTCCCCTCCCTCGTTCCATGCAGCAAAGGCAGTCAGCAAGTTCCCCAGGGTTTCCACCTCCTCCAGCTGGCACAGACCGCAATCCAGGTTTGTAAACCATGCCAGACGAGAATGGGAAAACTCCCCTCCAGATCTGAAGATGCGGGGACCAAAGCCAAGTTCATGCGGAACCAGCTTTGTCTGAGCTGCTTTTTCCTGCCTAACGTTTTATAGGCCCCGTCACAGCCAAGCTGCAGGAGCAAATTGCCGCCTGCTGGGAGCAACTAAGAGCAGCTGAGGACACTGCATGTCCTCCTCGCTATTGGTAAACACACAGACACCCAAATCAATCTCCCCTGTGGCTGGCACAGGGGACCAAGCTCCACCTGCAGAGACAGCCTATGCAGTGGGGGTGGGAGGAGCAGGGAACAAGTCACCAGTGACACAGGGTTCCGATGTCCCTGCTGGCCCCAGGAGCTACTGTGTGTTGGGCACCAAAAAGGGTAGTTATTCTGGACAACGTAGGCCTCTCAATTGGGAGCAGCATGTGAGAGGAGGGTTCGAATCCCATCCAGGGCCCATCTGCATGGTAAGTTGGAGGTGACCTCAGATGGCCACGTCCCTGTCACGTACTCGGCTTTTTCCTATTTCAGGATTAATGGGCCCTATGGTTCTTCCTTATCACCTTTGTGGTGATGAAAGCCGCTCCTCTGCCTCATGGTCCTAGGCCCAGACACCCCGTTAGTACAATGGTTTGAGCCTGGTTTGGACACTCTGGGTTCTCAAGGGAGTGGGAACAGGGGTGGTATACCCTGAAGAAGCAGAGGGGTCTTACTGGGAAGTCCTCAGGTCAATTGCAGGCTGTCCCCAGAAGGGACAAAGATGATTCTCCTGGGACCCTCATGAGGTCTCTAGAACAGGAGCTATCTGGACTTTGAGTTTCCCAAACCATGAGCTCCATGTACCTCTTTGTCTGCCCAAGAAGCCTGCCTTGAGCATTTCCTTGGAGTAACAACAAGTTGACTCAGGCTCAGTGTGAATCCTGGGCTGGGGAACCCTCCCTTTTCCCTCTTCCTCCTTCCACACTCCTCCTAGAGGAGGGACACTCACAGTCATCAGGTACCTGGGGGTGCTGAATTCTGAACCAAGTGGACAAGCTCATACGGGTGTAGCCCACATGTAGGCTGTGCATGTGGATGTACACAGCTCACATGTGCACATCCCACTTGTAGCCTACGTACATGTAGCAGACATATGCACAGCCCACATGCATGCACCCTACATGTGTGTCCTCATTTCTTTCACCCAAGAACCCCCATGTGGGTGCCATCACAAGGAAAGGATCCAATGAAGACCCTCAGAGGCAGGGAAACGGGGGTCTCCAGCAAGCAGCAATGTCGGGGTTTGAACCCAGATCACAGCATCACATCCTGAGGCCCAGACTCAATCACATTTCAGTGCCTCTAAAGGTCTACTTTTCTGGGGAAGCCCCCCATGACACCATGTCCCCACATTCTGTGCCACTACAGTCTGTGTGCCCTGCTCTGTATTCTTGCACCCAACTCTAACCACGCCAGGTTCACATTCCTGTGCCCCCACTCTCAGCTCTGATGATGCCACACAACCCTGTCTGCTCCTATACCTTGTTCTGTATTTCTGCACCCAACCCCAAGCCCTGAAATACTTACACCATCATCTCTGCTCCTGTTCCCAATGTTGTACTCCCAGCTCTGATCCAGTGTACCCCAATCTGTTTCTGTAATATCACATACCCCACCTCCATGTCCTCACACCATTCCTGTACAGGTGAGGTGGTTCATGTCACCTACGTTGTTCTTAGCTTATACAAAGTGTGTGGCCAGGGGACTAACATGAGCGAGGCCCCAGAGCTCACTGCCCACCTTTGTCGGGAAAGCTGGACTTGGAGGCCTTCCGGTCCTTCGGCAGGGCCTTGCTGCTCGGCATTGGTGAAGTGAGTGAGGCTGGGGGTGGTTTGTGCGCCGGCAGGTTCTTGTCCAACTTCTTGGAAAATGGCCGAGGAAGAAAGTCGGCTCTTTTCTCTTGTTCTTTGGGCTTTTTATCCTGCAGGACAGAAACCAATACACAAACTCTGCTGCACCAGAGCATATACAGTGGGATTTGTCTTAGACAAGTCATCTCAAAGGGGACCTGGCTCTTCAGTTCTCCAATGCTCTCTCGAATGAGCAATGAACAAAACCTTCGCACATCTCCCTCTGGCTGCACGACGTACAATCCTGAGATCGTCTCTGGCCACTTGCACAATGCTAGCTGATGGTCATCCAACAAGAGCAAGGCTGCTCCAAAAAGATTGGTTATTCTGATTAGGATTCGTGGGACCCAGCCGTCTGCAGGAGGGGTGGCACTCCAAGACCCTACCCACTGTGGTGCTTCCAAAGGCAGCCTACATCAACACTGCTTCCACATCAGCATCACAGCCTGTGTGTTCCCGTCAAGCCAAGGAAATAACCGATACAACCTGGCCCACAGGTCCATGGCGCCCTGAGCAGACCCAGCTGCAGGGGTGCTCCTTTCTACCCTAGAGTCACAGGGCAATTAGATGCAGACTTAATACCAGCACACACACAGAGAATCGTTTCTGTCATAAGTCTGGCTTCCTTTAGCCACATTCTACTCCCTCCGAGGAGAAAGCATTGGACTATTTTCTATGTATTCAACTTCAGAGTCCTTGGCATACAGCCAGGCACTTAGAGAAAACATGATAAATAGTTATTGAAATGTATAAAATAATTTTTTAAAAAATGGAATTGAGCTGCAATTAGCTGCCTGTAAGCTCCTGAGAAGGGTTGGGGGGACAGGAAGAAGCTGCTCTTTGCCCAGTCCTGCCCACGCTGCGCTTGGAGCCAACTCTCCAAGGCCGCTGCATCTCTGACCTCACCCGGGGTGAAGCAAAAGGACCGGCTTCCCCAACTCTGCCTTCTTCAACCATCGCAGCATTTGCAATTCAAGAGGGCTCATCTATATTTCATCGATGTTGTCAAAAAGCCTCACAAAGAAACAGTTCTTTGTGCTTTTAAAGCTCTCTCTAACAAGGGCATTGGAAAGTCTGGCAGGCAGGGCTGGGGGGGAAGCTGTCCAGTGTCTGAGTGGGAAAGAACAGTGGAGAAAAAACAGGGAAGTGTGGGGGCTGAGCTGAGCTGCGGCCAGTGCCACATCCAGGGCCAGGAGCTCCCTGGGGGGCCTAACCCTTCGCTGAAGTGACCAGGACCCAGTGACCAGGGAAGCTGGGAAGACAGGAGAGAAGTTTTGGGAAACTTCTTCCCCCATTAACCTTTCCTGAGAGTGCACAAGGGAGCAGATGCTCTAGTTGGCAGAAGGCCGTGAGCCCGACTTGTTACCCATTTGCAAATCAGGAAACTGCCTGCAGCAGTGGAATAATTCACTCAGGCTGAGTCTTGAACTTGGAGTCGTGAACCCTTGGCTGACACTGTTTGCCTCAGGAAGCCTGGGGAGGCAAGTCCGATGGCGGAGGGCAAGGACAGACTCAGAGAGAGAGGGGACACACCACTGTCTGATGGCTCCCACGATGTCAACTGGGTGCGACACAGACCATGCATCCATGCTATCAGCATGCCATGGCTTGGAACGTCCCCTCCAAAATGCAGCATGACAACTGTGACAGGGTTGAGATGCACACTGGAGGTAAGTCAGATATGACAGGAGTGGGTTCCTGACACACAGGAGGAGTCTGGCCTGGGTGGCTCCTAGGTCCCCTGTGTACACTCCCTTGCCAGGGGATGCCCTCTGCCACATAACGACACGACAAGCCATTCTTAGCCAGCTACCACAGCCAGGCTCTGGGACTTTTGAGCCTCTGACATTGGGAGGAATCAAACTCAGGTCTTCTCAGGAAGACCAGGTTCAGGGAGCAGAGCAGGGAAATTGAGACACCCAGGATGTCTAAGCAGGCCCCTGTGTGTTCCAGAACCCCAGGATGTCTAAGCAGGGCCCCTGTGTGTTCCAGAACCCCACGATCAAGCCAACAGAGGATGATCACCACTCCTAGCGCCTCACTCTGCTCTGGTGCCACGAGGCAAAGGAGAACGAGCTCTTCCGTAGACACACACAGCCTCATCAAGGCTCAGACTGGCCCGAGAAGTCTTGCAAAAACTCCTGCTTTGCCCAGTTCTCCGTTTTCACACAAGAATTACCAGCCCTACTTGTTAACACCATCAACAGGAAATAAATAGATACATTTCTGAGCTCCATTTGTAAATACTACTTTTTAAAAACATTCAATTTATTAATTTAAAGAACAGAATTGCAAAGAGGCGGTGGGGAAAGAGAGTGAGTGAGTGAGAGAATCTTTTGTCCTCTGGTTCACTCCCCTAATGGCTAAGCCAGGCCTAAGCCAGGAGCTTCTTCCTGGGTTCCCTGTGGGTTCAGGAACCTAAGCACTTGGCCCATCTCCCATTGTTTTCCCAGACTCGTTAGCAAGGAGCTGGATTGGAATTGGAGCAGCTGGGACATGAACTGATCCCTTTAGGGGATGTTGGCATTGCAAGTAGGGCTTACCCGGCTATTTAACCCACCAAACCATAGCACTAGCCCCCATTTTAAATATAGTTTGATAGAACTCTTTAGAACTGTTTTTTTTTTTTATTAACTACATTGCATTATGTGACACAGTGTTATGGGCACTGGGATTCCCCCCACCCCTCCTCAAACCTTCTCCCTATGGAAGAACTAGTTTTAATTGATCCACTTCCTTCCAGCTTTGCTGTAGGTACCATACTTAGAAATCGGCCAGAAACCTTTCCTTTCAGCTCCTTGCTAGCCGTACTTTGGTTCTCAAAAACTGAAGGATCGGGCCCGGCGCGGTGGCGCAAGTGTTTAAAGGTCCTCGCCTTGCACGCCCGGGAACCCATATGGGCGCCGGTTCTAATCCCGGCAGCCCCACTTCCCTTCCAGCTCCCTGCCTGTGGCCTGGGAAAGCAGTCGAGGACGGCCCAAAGCTTTGGGACCCTGCACTTGTGTGGGAGACCCGGAAGAGGCTCCTAGCTTTGGATCGGCATGGTATCGGCCCGTTGTGCTCACTTGGGGAGTGAATCATCGGACGAAAGATCTTCCTCTCTGTCTCTCCTCTCTGTATATCCATCCGCCTTTCCAATAAAAAAATAATAAAAATAAATCTTAAAAAAAAAAACTGAAGGATCAAGATGTAGCAGTTCATGAGGGAGGGTCTATCAGGACCCTGATAAGGGACCACCATCTCCTAGAAGTGTAGGAGGCATGGATGGAGACCAAGACTGGTCTCCAAACTTCATTTCTCCTGCCAAGTGCAACTCATGGACTACTTTGACCGCTCCCTGCATAGGGCTTATTTCTCAGAAGACAATTTTTCTTGGGACGCAGGATGCTCAACCGCCTTATGTAACAGAACAACAGCTTCCCAGGGGCTAATCCGACCCCTCTTCTCCAGCCCATGGCTCACCTAGCCATGCTGCTGCAGGCTGTACCCAGGCCTTCCTCTCCTCCTACCCCAGCATAGCCCACAGGGGGTCTGTGTGTTACAGGGATGGGGGAGAATGGAGCATCCAAACTCAACATTCACTTTGGTAGCTTTACACAGCCACACCCGCCCACCTCCCAGAAGCAGATCAGAGAGGGGGTTCCAAACAGGTTCATGCTCTGGGACCATCAGCCACAGATGAGCATGGACTTAGATAATACTGGGCATCCTGGAAGAATCAAGATGGCAAAATAGGGTAAGGACACATTGAAACGGACGGAAAAACATTTAATCAGGATGAAGCAGAGAGGACATATTCCAGGAAATAGGAGAGGACAGAACAACAGCAGAGGGGTATCTGGAGACTGAGAGACACAGGAAAGCAGCAGACATAACAGTGTGGTGTTGCAGCGACTGATACTCTAGCAGCATTCAGCTAACAGCGATCTGAACTCCACCAGCAGCTGGAACGCCACCAGCGACCAGGGGGGAAGGGACTTTCACTGGGGGCTTGGGAGGTGAACCCAGACAAAGAACTGTCCGTCCTGCGGGTCCCTTTGATTTGACCAGGAGCAGAGACAGAGCAGCAGATCATAGACAGGCAGTGTGAGAACAGGGTGGATTGCACAGCCCAGTCTGACCCTAGAGCCTAATTGGGCACCATTTTGCATAAGGAAGCAAAGGCAAGGGAAAAGACTGAGCATAAGCTGAGCTGAGAGTGAACTCATTTCTGACGAACTGCAGCAACGTGGCATTCTACAGGTACCACCCAAGACAGGTCTGGGTAGCCCTCAGGCCTGATGGCCAGCAGATCAAGAACTCTAGTAGTTGTACATCAGGCACCATTTTGTGCACTGTGGCAACAGCTTTAGCACTGCAGGGGACAACAGTGAACTGACCATGTGCTGAGCTCGCGAGAACTCACTGAGTTCCGTGGATTACATTGGTCCTGCAGGAAAATAAAACCAACTATGGCATCGTAAAGGTCAAAATAGGTCCGTGTGGCACCCAGACCTAATGTCCAATAGGTTCCAACAAGATCAGCGCCACCAACAACCTAACTATATAGGACACCTGGTGTCTCTCTAAGCCTGGAACCTACTCCAACCAGAAGAGGGAGAATGGTTGCAGAGACAACAGTGCAGCCTCAAAACGGTATCACATGAGGTAGAGAGTGGTGAGCCAGGGCTGGGGAGACCACGGTGAAAATCTAACATAAGAACCCAGACCTGGAACTCACTGGAGGTTGTGGCATAAGTGGCTGCAAGCAAAAAGTTGTGTACCAACTGCAATAAGTAAAATCATATTGTAGACCTGTGGGTGACACAGCTTAGAAACCTGCCCCAAGGAGAGGACTCTGCTAACCAGAAGTGCAATGACCAAGAGACAAAGGCACAACGAATATTACTGAGCACTCCCCTGCAAAGGAACAAAACCCTTTGGCAACCTCAGAGTTTACTGAGGAAGACATCGAAAAAATGGGGGACACAGAATCCATAAGACTCATTTTAAAGCTTCTGATCAAAAGTGAGAAACACATACAAGAGTTCAAAGAATTTAAGGAAGCAATAAAGCAAATCAAGGCTGATATATCAGAAATTAAGAACACAGTGGAGCAAATTAAAAGTACAATGGAGAGTCTCCAAAATAGAATGAAGCAAGAAAGCAGAAAAAAGAATCTCAGAACTGGAAGATATTTCCTGTCATCAGGGGGAAGCAAACAAAAAGCTGGAAGCAGAGCTGGATCAGGACAAACAAAATATTCAAGAATTGAAAGACACTATTAAGAGACCTATTATAAGAGTTATGGGAGCCACAGAAGGTGCGGAAAGAGAAACTGAGTTTGCAAATGTATTTAATGAAATAATCAAGGAAAATTTCCCTAATCTGGAGAAAGAATTGGGAAACAAGATCCAGGAGGGACACAGAACTCCCAACAGGCGTGATCAAAAGTGATCTTCACCAAGACATATGATTATCAAGCTCTCTTCAATTGAACATAAGGAAAAGATCCTTAAATGTGCACGTGAAAAAAATCAACTGGCATATAAAGGAACGCCAATTAAACTCACAGGAGATCTCTCACAGGAAACTCTACAGGCAAGAAGAGAATGGAGTGACATATCCAGATTCTAAAAGAAAAAAATTGTCGGCCCAGGATAACATATCCAGCAAAGCTTTCTTTTGTCTTTGAAAATGAAATAAAATTCTTCCACAGTAAAGAAAAGTTAAATTAATTTGCCTCTTCCAAACCTGCCCTACAAATGATACTTCAAGATGTTCTCTTGACAGAGAAGAGGAATAGCACCCACCAAAACCAAAGGCAAACGGGAAGAACATCCCAGTAAAATGACAACAGAAGACTAAATCAATGAACAACCCACTCCTAAAATGACAGGACCAAAGTACCACCCACACATATTAAACTCTGAATGTAAATGGCTTAAGTTCAATCAAACATCATAGATTACTAGACTGGATTAAAAAACAAAACAACATCTATTTATTGTCCAGAAGAGACACACTTCACAAACAAAATCAGTGGAAACTATATCGCATGGGTTTTGTTGTTTTCTGTTAGTTTCATCTCTTCAAAACACTTTCTTCTGATTAAATCATTCAATGACTCGTAGATCATACAGTAGCATCATTTTCTTCAAGAAGGTTCTTGATTTTCATCTCTTCAGCTACACGTTAGTCATTTAGTAGTATGTTACTTAACTTCATGGTGTTAATTTCTTTTTTCTCCCTGATGTTCATTTTGTTTTGTGGCTTTTCATTTATGGGGATGTATAGTAGCTGTGTAATGGAGACTGTCATATCTAGTAACATGTCATTTAACTTCATGGCATTGTAACTTTCTATTATTCTTTCTATTGTTGATTTTGTATTATGACTTTTCATTTAAGGGGATGTGCAATAGCTGTAAAATGGAGACTAACATCCAGATGTGAGGATGCAATGTAGTATGCATTTCTACTTCCAGACAAAGATGGACTTACAATGAAACTGTTCACTATATCTTGACAATAGGATGCTGACTCTTTGCCATTGTCCATTTCTGCAATGATGGACATATTACTGTGTATGAAAAACTATATTTTAGTAATGATATAGAGGAACTAGGTCAGGGGGAGGGAATTGGGGAGGGAATAAGGGAAACGCCAGGAGCCTATGGAACTGTATTATGAAATGATAATAATAATAATTTTTTTAAAAACCCAAAAATAAAAAACAACAGGATACATTAAAAAGAAAAAAAAAAAAAAAAAAAAAAGAAAAGCAAAACCCTGGTCATCCTGAAAGCCTGGCCTTAACAAAGCCTATTTTCCCCAAAGGCTTTCCATGGTGCATGACACTGATGGAGGAGGGGAAGGGGTCAGGGATGATGCTACATGGATGCTGTCAAGAGGGAGATGAGAGCAGGTGCCGGCAGGAGGAAGGAGGCTGGGCTGGGCCTCCAGTGCCTAGACTCCAGAAAGCTGGTTCCCAAAGTGCTCCTTCCTGACAGCTGGGTCACTGGGGACAGCCTGGCCACCAAAGAGTTGACTTTAGGGACAGCAGCCCTGGGAGTCACCTTGGAAATGGGAACCCATCCCAATCTGTCTGAAATGGCTTGAACCCACCTGGCATGTACTTCACTGTCATTAACAGGATGAAGACTGCCTGCCAGCCCAGGCTGGAGAAAGATGGGGGTGGTCTGCTGCCTGGGGAATGGGCCTTCTCCTGCATGCTCACATGTATGGGGCAGCGAGGTGCTGGGAGCTGAGGCAAGCAGCAGCTGTATCCTTCGAGTGTCCCTGCTACCTGAGATGGCCCAAGGAGGGGCTAGGTATTGTCAGCCAGTTGATTTAGGTCTCTGGCTGGGAATTAAATTACTAAAGGGAGTTCCTTTGATTTTGCCTCTGACAACAAAACAAATAGTGAGTTGATAAAAAGAAGGCTCGGTTCATAAATCAGGCCCCCTAAGCCAGGAGGTTCTAGAATGTTACAAACACGATTTCTCATACAGGGAGACGTGGGAATGCATAGCCAAGTGTGTGGCCACAGCTTCGCAGCATAGAAAACACCCATCTGATCTATGAAGATTCCAATAGCCCACTCCCACCAGGATTCCACATATTTTAATTGAGAACAAAGGCACAGGTGTGCAGAATCTGCCTCCCCAGGCACAGGCTGACCAGCCCTTGGGGTGAGATTAAGATGGTTAACTTCACGTTGCAACTCAAGCAGGCCATGAAGCCCAGCTGTTTGGTGAAACACCAGAAGTACGAGACTGCTGTGACAGTATCTTCACGCGATTCATATCTAAATCCGTAAACTTGAAGTAGATGATCCTCAAGACAGTCCACAGCTTAACGAACAAAAAACAATGAGGACTACTGGAAAAAGAAATTCTGTCTGGAACCAGCATTGTGGCACAGTGGGTTAAGGTGCAATCTGAGATGGCAACATCCCACACAAGCATGGGTTTAATTCCAGTTGTTTCATTTCCAATCCAGCTCCTAGCTAATGTAACTGAATCAGCAGTGAACGAGCCCAAATGCACCTACATAGAGAACCCTGAAGATGCTCCTGGCTCCTGGCATCAGCCTGGCCCAGCTCTGACCACTGCAGCCACCTGGAGAGTGAACCAGTAGATAGAAGATTTCTACTTCTTCTCTCTTTAACTCTGCCTTTCAAGATGAATAAAATAAAAATATTTTGGAAAAGAAGAAGAAACTGCCTCTAGCTGGTCTTTGACCTTGCAGGTGCAACATCAGCTTTTCCAGGTCTGCAGCCTGCCAGTTTGTGTGTCCCATCGCGGTCAGCCTTGCTGGCCTCCTCAACTGTGCAAGCCATTCCCTTGAAATCAAACCCAGTTTCCTCCTCTCTCTGTCCAAACGTGCACGGAGTGTATACATGACATGCATGTGCCCGTGTGTCTGTTTCCCTGAAGATTCTGACCCTCCCCGGTCTCCACAGTCCCATCCACCCCAGGTGCTTACCTGCACACCATGGAACTCCAGGTCTCTTGTCCATGTGTCCAGGGAGGCCTGTGAAAAGCAGCATCGTGCAGTAATTTAAGAGGCTGCACCTGCTGTTTAATTCGCTGAACTCTATGTCCTCCTCCTTTCCCAACAGCTCTTGTTGAGAATGACTTATTTCAATATTTACATACAAAAAAAAAGTCAAACGAAGCACAGACTCTTAAACTATAGCTAAAGTCATTGCAGGTGTCCTAACACGTGTGCTGAACAGACTCTAGGTATTTTTTTCACTGAAATCTAAGACCCAGAACGCAGGTGTGTTCCAAAGACAAGTGAGCAGCTCCACAGTTTCGCAAAAACAGCTCTCAGAGCAAGGAACGAACTGCAGGCCAAGGGCCCCCGCAGCCACTCTGCGCCCCTGAGCAGTGATTGCTCTGATTTCCAACAGCGCAGGTTCTCTGTCCTGCTCCTGAGCTCTGTTTGTGAAAGCTGTGAGGATTCTGAGGAGGAAAGACAAGGCACAGACAGCTGAGCGATGACTCAGCCCTGTTGTGGCTTCAGCCGGTCTCTCCCCAAATTCATGAAGTGCTAACCCCTAGGACCGAGGCATGCAGCCTTAGCTGGAGAGCGTCTCTACAGCGCTAAGCACATTCAAAACAGGCCAGCATCCCTGCAGAAAGAGGAGGAGCAGAAACCGGGGAGCCAGTGTGGTATCCTACCGGTTTAACCCGCTACTTGCAGTGCATCCTATTTGGGCACCAGTTCTTGTTCTGGCTGCTCAAAATTTGTGGCCTGTTCCCCTCTTATGGTCTGAGAAAGTGGCAGAGGACTGCTCAAGTCCTCAGGCCCCCGCACTCAGGTGGGAGACAAGGAAAGACACTGCTGACTTTGAATCAGCTCAGCTCCAGCCACTGTGACCATCTGGGGAGTGGATCAGCAAATGGAAGCTGTTTCTCTGTCTCTCCATCTCTCTGTGAATCTGCCTTTCCAATAAACATAAATAACTGTATTGAAAAAAATGAAGGGCACTGGAAGGAGGACTTGCACCTAGGAGAGGGAAGACCCTGGGGTGAGGCAGCACCTCCAAAGACTGGGACAGATGCCCCCCTCCACCTCGCAGCCCCCAGCCACCACCTTGGGCTTGGACTAAAAGCTCCAGGACCCAGCTCCTATCTGCCAGCACACTCTGCTCTCAGGTGGAGTTGGCCAACAATGGCATCCTGGATGCTTGTCTCCCGGCCCTTCTTGCTGTCGTTCTTGGAGCTGTGCCTGCCTGGACAGAGTTCTCAGTGGTCACAGCATCACCACCAGTGGCTCCGGCAGATGAAGGCAGCTGCGCCCACCCCACCTCACCCCCGGCCATGCTTCATGCCACATGCCACCACGACTGCCACTGCCTCCAGCGCAGATTCTCCTACACATTCATCTCTGATGAGCCAGTTTACAAAGAGCAATGGCTCTGCCTGGACATCCCCTATGCTACTCCCCTGCATCTCTCAGAAGGGCCGTCTTTCTTAGCAAGAAGCATCTGCTTGGCACCTTGGATGAAAGCCACATCCCACTTGGACAGACACAAACAGCAAAGTCCTAAACTCCCAACACTGTATTCCCCGGAGGGGCGTGTTTGCAACTCCATTCAGGCTCTCTGTTCCCCCAGGAAAAAGAGAGCTAGAATGGAGAGAAACACACAGGCTATTGGCACAGCTTGATGTTTGCCAGAAGGAGAGGTAGGAGACTCAGACACTGAGCTACAGAGCCTCGCCCTCCCAGTGAGCTGGCATATGCCAGAAACTTCTATCCACCTGCACCCGGCTGCCTGGGCTCCTACAGGGCAGTGGCAGTGGAGGGGGAAGGGACCTCTGAGGGGGCTCTACCTGTAAGTTGGGCATCCCCACCCTGCTAGACTTCCCAGAAAGCTGTTTCTAATGAGCCTCCCTCTACTTTCTAGGTTCCAACAGAGACAGATCAGATAACCTGGTAATAGCTGTAATTTAATTAGCAGAAACATCATGGTAGTTTGGAGAAAGCAAATGGATTCTAGAAAATGGAAGCCGCTGTTTGCCCATTAGTGTTCCTATTTAAATCCTAACTGTTAAGTATTTCAATGCATACTTAACGTGTACACACCATGGGTTTTCAGACCAAGGGAAGCTATCACCAGAGAAGTGACGGGAAGAGAAAGGGTGTGTGTAGCTGGGGGCTCTGTCACACACAGCTCAGTGGGACTGGGTCAAGGATGCACACTCTGGGCCCCTGCAAGAGCACTGAGAGGCCGCTTCTGGCATGGGCAGAGTGGCACTGGGTGGCCAAGTCTCTCCACTGTTATAGAAGATCCAAAAGAATCAAACACAACGCAAAAGGCCAGGAAGACAAAAACAGCAGCTTCTGGACCCCAAAGGGGAGTGGAGGCCACCTTCTGTGGGTGCCCAGAGGGGTCCTTCCCACCTCAAGGCAGAGCCACTAGGGTCATCAAGCAAGAATTGCAGCCTGGCCCTTCTACCTTCTCCACCTGTTTGCCCCAGCTCTATCAGCCCTCTGTGACTCAGACCAAGGTCTACATTTGTCCCCTTAGTAGACATTTGCTAAGTGCCCAGAGCCCATGTGGCACGGCAAGATGCCAGGGGTTCCATAAGAGGCAAGAGGAACCCAGCTCTTCTGCAATCTCAGTCCACGGTGGGAGAGAAAATTCCTCAGATCATGCCCAAAGAAATGCAAAACACATATTGGACAAGTACCAGGAAGCAGAAAAAGAGGGGTGATGTTGGGAGGGGGCTCCAGGGCAGAGGCTGGGAGGTGGTATGAGCCCTGATAAGCTGACTGCACCCTGGCAGTTAAAAAGACATGGGATAGAGGGGTGGGGAGAACATTTAGGAGAACATTTAGCAAGACGGAAGGGCCTGTGTAGGTGGCCAGACGTGCAGCAAAGCTAAGGAAAAATCAAGAAGCAGGGGCGGAGTGGGGCGGGAATACAAAGCAGGGGCAAGAACCACATTGGTTGGACACAGTGGCAGCCCTGGAGGCGCCTCTACTTCTGGCTGCCATATGGAGCAGACAACATGCAGCAGCTGCAGGGACAAGGGTACCCAGGGAGGAGGCCCTGGCGGGGGTCCAGGAGAGCGGACAGGAGGCTGGAGCCAGGCAGTAGGGGATGTGGATGAAGGTGCCGGGGCAGAGGAGTGAGGCAGGAGGGGCGGGGCAGTGACAGACTTGGGCATAGAATCAGCACATCTTGTTGAGGGCTCTCCCAGACCTGGGAATGCTTAGGCCTGTGCCCTGAGCCTCGGGGAGTCTCATTCCTGGCTCATCACATGTGAATTTCCTTCACAAGGCCAAGGAGGCTTATAGATATTAGATAGCTGGCTGGGGAGAGGGATGGGTAGGGTCCCCACACTACCCTCTCCTCCTGCCATCCCTACGACAGCCCAGGCATGGCCTGTAGTTCCGCTCCACCCTGCTCAGGCCCTGGCGGGTCAGGACCCTCTCTGGTTGGCATTTGCAATGGCATCCCCACCCCACTGTACCCCTTTCTGCAGGTCATGCTCTGCTTTCGTGGCCAGGGTCACTCACCTCATAGGGCTCTGTGGCTGCCCTGCACTTCTCTATCTGGTAGAGCTGGGTCTTGTAGCAGACGCTATCCTGGAGATCGGATTTCTGCCAGGGAAAAGAGGAAAAAGTACGGCCAAACTCTCAGCAAATAGAGACATCCATTAAACAGTCATTAACTTTTAAACCAGCACTTGGCTGATCAAGTGCAGGAAAAGGTTGGCACACTGGTGAATCACAACATAGGCACATATACCTGCACAGCCTACAGCACGGGAGAGCCCTACTTCTGTTATGGTGCTGCCAGAAAAGGGCCAGCTGACCATGGCCAGTTACTGCTCCCTGCTGGGCCTCAGTTCTTTTTACCCATGCAATGGATTTGTTCTAAGATATGACGGGCCCGACGGTGTAGCCTAGCAGCTAAAGTCCTCGCCTTGAATGCACCAGGATCCCACGTGGCTGCCGGTTCTAATCCTGGCAGCTCCACTTCCCATCCAGCTCCCTGCTTGTGGACTGGGAAAGCAGTCGAGGACGGCCCAAGGCTTTGGGACCCTGCACTCGTGTGGGAGACCCGGAAGAAGTTCCTGGATCCTGGCTTTGGACTGGCATAGCATCGGCCATTGCACTCACTTGGGGAGTGAATCATCGGATGGAAGATCTTCCTCTCTGTCTCTCCTCCTCTCTGTATATCTGCCTTTCCAATAAAAATAAAATAAATCTTAAAAAAAAAAAAAAAAAAGACATGAAAGCAGGGACCAGCTCTGTGACACAGTGGGTAAATCATGGTTTGAATGCTGGCATCTCATATGGGCCTCTGCTGCCTACACGGGAGACCCGGAAGAAGCTCCTAACTTCTGGCTTTGGCCTTGCTCAACCCTGGCACTTGTGACCATTTGGGGAGTAGATTAGTGGATCTCGCTCTCTCTCTTCTTCCACCATGTCTCTGTAACTTCCAAATAAATAAATACACCTAGAAAAACAGGTAAAAACCAAACAGGTGAGCAAGAAAGAACTTGCTTTATTGAGCCACCAGATAGGCTACCGATCTTGCCTGCTAGCTTATTTGAAAATGCCACATGGACACAGGCACACAACACATATGCCACCAAACAAAAGCCACAGCAACTCATAACACAGCTTATGGAAGATGGACAACTACACCTGAGCTGCAGGGCTGTCTGGAGAGAGAGAAAATGAAGCCGGTTCATTCACTTCTCAACAACACATGGTTAAGGCATGCCCTTACAGTCTCCAACTTAAAATACCTCTATTTCTTGGATTTTAAGGGGAAACAAAAAGAAACGGGAAAAAAATGATGAGGAACAAACACACCACTTATTGTGAGGTTCATTAGGTTGGATTTCAACATCATACCGCAGGTGTCAGCAGTTGTTTGATAAGATTAATAACCGGGACAGCACACACCGTGCAGCGAAACGAACAGCTGTGGCCACCTGCAGAGACACACTCCCTCCGGTGGAAAAAAGTCACTGGTCAGAGGTATGGGTTCTCAGCCCAGGCGCATCCTGTGGCTGCGAAGAGGTAAAGGCCAGACAGACACAGAAAAATAAAACCCGCCTCCGGCTTCCGCTGGAGCGCTGAGCTTCCACTGAAGGTTCTCCACACTTGGCTTGGAAGCCTGGTGCCAGGCAGAGCGGAGCAGCAGACATGCGGCAGATGGCAAGACACCCAGACAAGTCAGAACTCAGCAGGGGCTTCAGACAATCTCCCTGGCTGGAGACGAGTTGTGAACTTGCTTTCCAACGTCCTGGAAGAGGAAAATGTCTAACCCGGAGCGTGGATGGGACTGTGAGAAACTGCCCAGAAAACCAGAATCCCTCTCCCTTACTTGGTCAGCACCCCAAGAACTGGTCCTGCCAGGATGACTGCTGAACTTCAACTGAGGAAAGTAGCAATATTACTCACTGAACGTGAGAAATTGTTAATCTGATGCTTCATAGAAACATGCGGCAAAAACTAGTCTTTGGAACATTCCTCATCTGAAACAGAAAATCAGGGTACTGACCCTCTTTTGCGTGAGATCCATTTAAGGGCTGAGCAGCGCTGTCACCAATGGCACGGCCTGGAACCCCTAGCCGTGAGAAAGTCGGTAGCAGGTGCCTACTAATTTAGGCACGAATTTATTTAAGAATTTACAAGAAAATAAGAAAGAAATCCACAATGTAGGCTCCTACACAAGAAAAACAAGAAGCAGCTTCAAGGCCAGGACATCTCTGAAGTTGCTCAGGATGACAACGGAGAGCGGTTGTGTGGTGTGAGCTCTCCTTGGCACATTATGAAACAACACAAACCACGGCTTAAGTGCTTTCTCCAAGGGTTCCCAGTGCTGGAAGCTGGGCACCCCTCCACCACATGGCAGCATGGAGATGAGGCAGACCCTCTTCTGGGGGGCGGGGAACGGTGTGTTAGGGAAGGGAAGGTGATCTCCCACCCTCATGGCAGGATTAGCACTTCTTATTTTCAAAATCCGTCACTTCTGAAAATGCGTCCACTCACATCTTTTCTTTGGTAGCTCACCAAGAAAAAACAAACAGTGCTGCGCAGAATTTTCTGCTGAAGCAAAATCTAGCAAACAGCCAAAGCTGAATCAGCTTCTAGAAACATCTGGACTTCTACCCTGACAGCTGAACAAATCTAACTAGCTTTTATAAATAGTCGTCGATGGTTTCTAGAGGTTGACTGAACCTGTTTGCCAACATCAGACAAACCCCATCCATCTCATCCCCTGGGGATATCTCTGCCTCAATTGCAGGTGGATTTTCATAATTTTTTTCTAATCCAGAAATCTCAAAAGTTTTTTTTTTTTTTAATAACTATTTGAAAGACAGAACTTCAGAGGAAGCAAGAGAGAGAGAGAGCTCTTTCTTTGATTAACTTCCTAATTGGCTGGAGCAGGGTCGGGCTCAAGGAAGAAGTCAGTAACTTCAGACAGTTCCCCCACTTGAATGGCAGGGACCCAAGTCCTTGGGCCAACTTCTGCTGCTTTCCTAGGTGTATTGACACAGAGCCAGACCAGGAAGTCTAGCATCAGGACATGAACCGACGCCCATGTAGGATGCTGGCATCAGAAGTAGCACACTATGCCACAACGCCAGCCCCTCCCAAAGCCTGTTTTTTGGCAAGTTGTGTAATACACTGGGTCGGGCTATCATGTGAATAGCTCTGGAAAAAACCTCCAGATGTTGTCCTCAAGTTCTAGATACCAAACTGTCTTCCTAGCGGTGACAATTACATTATGATTGCATCTCCAGGTACAAGGTCCATAGGGCCAAGGTCACATCAAGGTCATGCAAGTGAATACTCAGCCAGGTTTCAGATGAGCTTCCTACCAATTCTGCATTTCACTGGCTGACCTCCACTTCTATCTGATCAGTACCCACTGTTCTGGGCAGAAGCAGGTGTAGCTGTATGCAGAATGGTCCAGTCTTTGCTCCAGGTGTGCGATTTCAAAGCACTCCTCAAAAGGCCAGATATGGGAAACTGAATCCTCAATATAGCAGTGCTGACGAGGCTAATGAGAGGTCATAGGTCATGAGGACTCTTGGCGAATGGATTAAAGTCATTCTATAAGAATTTGGTCTTCTAGGGAGTGGATTTATTCTTGAGAGTATGTTTGGGTGGTAAGGAAAGCAGGTTCCAAGAAAGGTGTGTGGCCTAGCAGTTAAGGTGTCTCTTGGGGGGGTACACATCCCCAGTCAGGGTCCCTGGCTTGCAGTCCTGGCTCTGTTTCCATTCCCAGCTTTCTGGGAGGAATCAGGTGAAGGCTCACATACATGGGTCCCTGCCACCCACACTGGAGACCTGGGGTGGAGCTCCAGGCTCCTGGTTGCAGCATGGATTATTCCCAGCTAATTCAAGCACCTGGGGAATGAACCAGCAGATGGAAGACCTCTATGTCTCCTTCAAATAAGTATAACTTTCAGAAAACTTTTCAAACAGCACCTTTGTTTCTCTAGCTTTCTTTTGCCTTCTGTCACGTTCTGATGCAGTGAGGAGTCCTCCCCAGAAGGCCTGAGCAGGTGCTGGCACCAAGCTCTTCAACTCTCAGCCTCCAGCACCACGAGGCAGACAAGCCTCTATTCTGTATAAAGTACGTACTCTGTGGAATTCAATAACATCCACAGAAGACAGACCAAGACCCCAGATTTCTCTGCAGAATGCATTTTAAGAAAGATGATTCCGTCAACACCAGATAGTTCTGGGAGATGCTGACTTCCCCTACCAGGAACCAGAATGACTATGGGGACAGGATGTCAGGATACCACTGCCCAACCCAGGTTGCAGAACCCCCACCTGTGCTCACACATCAGGACTCGGACACAAACCTTCCCACCCACAGGCTGAATGGGACACGGATGAATCTGCACCGCCACAGTGCTGGCCTCAAGCATCTTGGTTTTTTTGTTTGTTAGTTGGTTTTAAGCTGGGCATGTTAATTCAAATAGTGGCTTTCTTATATTCTGTACTTTTTTTTAGCTTCTTAATTTATTATAAAGACAGAGACAGACATAAAGTTTCCATACACCAGTTTACTCCCCAAATACCTACAACATTTAGGACTGGACCAGGATAAATCCCAGAGCCCAGAACTCCACGCACTGCTTCCCCATGGATGGCATGGGCCAAGTACCAGCTCATCAGCAGCCATCACCTCCCAGGATGCACATGAGCAGGAAGCTAGGATTAGAAGCAGAGCTGGGACTTGGACCCTGGCACCCTAATATGGGAAATGGACACCCCAAGCTACGTCCTAGCTATTGTGCCAGACACCCACCTGGCGTGCCAGGCTTTAGAGCTGAATACGACCAACAGTCCCCAGAGCTAAGAGACGCAAGCACATTCAAAAGACAGCAGGGAGGCTGAGGGCAAAAGAGGCTTGCAGCCCACACAAAAGACTTCCCTCTGTGGGAGAACATTCCAGAAAGATCGCTACCTGAGAAGCAGGTTTTACTGCCACTTTAACCACCTTCTGGAAACTCAGTCTCACCTTAGCTGGGTGATTAAGTGTCAGCTAGCAAGATACCCTGGAGGGTCTCAGAGCTATTTTGTTGTGTATTCTTTTTTTCCACCACAGGAAAAAGAGAGAACTCCCTCCCGGTTCAGCTTACCCCTGACAGATAGCGCTCAAGTTTCTTGTTCAAGAGGAAGTAGATGGCGAGGATGTGGCAGGCCCGGTTGGAAAGCACAGTGTTGATCACGTCACTGTTCTTGTAGCCCAGCTTCTCCGTCATGTGCAGCACCACGCTGGGGCTCAGGTCTTCCAGAGAAATCCTGCCGGGCCGAGAGACAGGAAGTTACCGCTCCACGGTCCCAGCGAGGCTCACGGCGAAGGCGCACAGCCCTGGCTCACGCACGCACGCTCCTTTGCTGGTTGCCTCTAACACAAACTGCAGGTGTACGGACTCATCAGGGTCATTTAGCACTCAGGCGACAGTCTAGTTCCCCGGTGCTGCCTCTATTGCTTTATAACTGGACAGTATTCTCTGAGTGTGCGTGCTGCCGTGCAGGTGGTGTCCCCAGAGCGGGAGAGCAAGGGTTTTGGCTACTGTGCAGGTGCCAACCATAGTTACAGGGAGTCCCCAGGTCCACACACACAAGGAGTCCGAGATACCGCTGGCAGGTGGGGCACTCTCAAGGGCACCCGGGTGAAAGAAATGTCATTCATTCAATTCATTCATTCACTCATCAGCACTTAGCAGTTTGCATTTTAGGGGTGGTAAGAGACTGAAACCCATGCAGCCCTCCCGCCAATGCTACCAGTGGGTACCACCAGTAGCCCCATTCTGCAGGTGGGGAAACAGAATCTTCCCTCAGGAGCACAGGGGGCAGGAAGGGGCAGTCCCTGAGCTCACACTTGGGCAGCCTGGCCTAGGCTCTGGGACCAAGCCCTCACCATCACTGCATCTCCAAAGCCACACTGAGAGGCAACAGAGACCCAGTCAACCATCACAGGATCCCAAGGGAGAGAGTGCATGGGCAGTGGGGTGGTCGGCAGGGATCCAAATGGGGCCCTCTGCAAAGAAACCCCAGGGTGTGACCCCATCATGACAATGGCAAGGAGGTGAATTTGCCCAGGCACAGGGCCAGGGCATAGGGGTGCCAGGAAGTTAAGTTCCCCCCTACCCCCGACCATCATCTGCCACCTACGGGCAGATGGCTCTCTCTTCAGCACCCTGGACTCTCCCGTCCTGAAAATTAAAAAAATCAAATGAACCTACATTTCTTCACTCCTGCTTGCTGCAAAATTACAAACTCGAGAGGACGAATGGAAGGAGATTGGATGACCAGTGTAAAAAGCATTAACGATTTGTTCGTTTAAAAAAAAATGACTTGGATTAGCATAGAAGATATAGCTGTTGGAAAACGCCTCAACTCCAGTGTGAGTGTGGCTCTGCCCTTCGCCAATTACATTTCACTTATGATCCAGTCTCTGGCCAATCAGACCACACAATGGATTAACCCCTTGGCCAATCAGATCACACCTATGATTTCACCCCTGACCAATCAGACCATAGATACGATCCAGTCTCTGGCCAACCAGATCACAGTGACGCTCCAGTGGTCACACTCTTTGCCAAGAGCAGGTGCACAGAGTGTGGATCCCTGGGTAAGGGCCAGCCAGGGCTGGGAGGTGAGCAACACACACCCCACCTCTGCCTGATATGTCTGAAATCTCCAAAAACAGGAACACTGTCACAGCACAGGTGGTCGGCCACTCTTGACGGAGAAATGGGTGATTTAAAAATTTCCCAGGAGGGCCCAGCGCGGTAGGGTAATGGGTAAGGTCCTCGCCTTAAATGTGCCAGGATCCCATATGGGTGCCGGACCCTGCACCCATGTGGGATACCCGGAAGAAGTTCCTGGATCCTGGCTTTGGATCAGCGCCGTTGCGGCCACTTGGGGAGTGAATCATCAGATGGAAGATCTGTACATCTGCTTTCTAATAAAATAAATAAAACTTCTAAAAAAAATTTTTTTTAAATTCAAAAACTTCCCAGGAACACTTTACACGCACGGTTTCTACACCTACTTGTGAACTCCCACTACTTCTGCACGTCTGGAATAGAGATTGGCAACATGGCTCCAGGACACTGCAAATAATTGCAACTAAATAAAATCACGTCACCACCACATTTGCATCCCTGTGGGCTAATTCTAATCCTCTTCCCTACCACCTGGCACCTGACTCGGAGCTAGCGAGTCAGGTGCTGGGCTCTGTGGAGACAACCACACCTAACCCAGGGTCCAGAGCCAGGCACCCAGCTGTCTGGCCAGCACAGACATTTATCTCAAACATTGGTTTGCAATGCTATGTTCTGCTCGCCTGCTGGGCAGCAACCCACGGGGGCCAGAGGGTATCACAGCAGGAGGATGGAGGATGGTATAAAACACAGGGATTTTATTTTCTCTATTTTCTCAAAAGAAAAAATATCAATCACAACTAAAGTAATTAAATCTGGTGCTGGCTGTATGGGGAAATCATAAAGCATAAAGAAAATATTTCTCTCTTGGGGCCAGTATGGTGGCACAGGAGGCTAATACTCCACCATGTGGTGCCAGCACTCCATATGGACACTGGATCATGGCTCCACTTATGATCCATCTCTGCCTGAGAAAGCAAAGGAGGACTGCTCAAGGCCTCAGGCCACTGTACCCACGGGAGACCGGGAAGAAGCTCCGGAGTCCGGCTTTGGTTCGGTTTAGCTCCAACCACTGCGGCTAATTGGGGAATGAAGCAACAGATGGAAGATCTCTCTTTTTCCTTCTCTCTGTGAAATCTACCTTTCCAAAAATATTCAAATGAAAAAAAGAAGAAAACATACTCTTTTCTGATTGGAAATTCTTTTCTGTTTCATCAATTGGCAAACCCAGAAAAATGATCAAATATGCAATTTTTTGAATAACTGTTTTTTTGTTATCAGAATAAAGACTGTGACCACTTGGGCATCCCCCAACAGCTCAGAAGTCTGACCACAATTTGTCCCTCTTGCACAACAACAAATCACGGGCCTTCCACAGAAACATACCTGCCACTTCCTTGACGATACAAGAGCATCTGCGTTTTCACCAGCCCTTCCCTCAGCACCTAAGCGGCTGGTACACTGCTTGCCAAGCCCAAATGTGGAACCTGGCAAAAGCAGCCCAGGCATCAGAATGTAAGTTTCCACCTGTCTGTAGCCTGGGCGGAAGCTACACCACCAGATGTCACGACCTGACGATGCAGCCTGTGTGCTTCTGACACTGGTGCTGCTTAATTAGCAGCAGTGTCCATGTCTGACAGACAGATGACACTGACTTAGAGGGTGGCGACTCCCGCCAGGGTGCCCACAGCCTGTTTTCTTCACAGCATGCGCACCTGTAGCCACACCCCATGAGGTACATGGGGCAGGAGGCATGGCCCTCGGCTCAGCTTTCTGTGTCACCTGGTGTATTGTTTCAGACACAGGCCCTCATTGAGCTGCTAGTGGCCAAAGACATCAATCTGCAGGCTCCCTGGGGAATCCAGGTCAGCCTGAGCTGGCTCCCATTACCTCCCGTGAGTCAGATACTGGAATTCTGGAGTGCAACGGAGAGAAACCAATCTTTTCCAGCACCACGGGTGTGAACCAGCCCAGGCCATGGATGCAGGCCCTCAGTCCTTGCACGGTGTGGAACCTCCCGCCCAGACAGCACTCCCTGCGAAGGCCTCTACACCATCTCAGGCTATCTGGAAAAGAGGACACCCCCTTCCCTGGCCTCTCACTCTTCTGTGCGTCTCCTAGTCAGTGTTTTGCTCCTGCCCACTCGGAGCCAGTTCAAATGCGCAGCAGCCCGCCACCTCCTGCCCCGTCAGCCTGCAGGAAGAAGAAAAGGGGCCTGGCCCAGAAGGCACTGAACCAGGTGGTCTCCACGCCCATGTGAAAGGGACAATGGAGGACACAATCCATTGAGTTGGGACCCAGAAGGATGGAAACGCCTTCTCTCTGAAGCATGGCCAGGGTGGACAGCCACATCCCGGAGCCAGGGAGTCTTGTCTGGAAGAGCAGCTCTCAGGGTCCAACCCACGGAGACGCAGCCTGAAGCCCCTTCCCTCTGCCCCACTATATCAAAGCACGATGACAGAAGAGCCCAAGGTGTGGCGAAGGAGTGGGTGGGGGAATCAGGGGGTTCTGCCTGACGTGATTGGCAGGTTGCCACACACACACACACACACACACACACACACTCATACCCAAGACACACAGACACATTTACAAATACAGACATACACAGACACACAAATTCACACACCAAAAAACACATCAACACAGGCAAACCCTGATATATGCTATCACATGCACAAACACATATACTCACAAACATATACCAAGACACAAACACACATACATGTAAATGCAGGCACACACAAATTCACCAACCTGCACACAAATATACTTCACAGAAATAGACACATACATGACATGTGGTGTTTGTATGTATAGACATATGTATGAACACATACATGCATGTAAGCACAGGCGTGCGCACACACACGCACGCACACACTGGCCACAGCTTGTTTTCATAGTCCCTTCCCATAAACTCGGAGGAGCCCCTCAAAGCAAGGCACGCCCAGGGTGTGGCCTAGATTTTGGCCTCCACTCCCTGCTGTCGGGCACCCCACTGCACTGCCACCTGGGGAGGCCCCGTCCACACTGCAACACAAGAGGCAGCTGAGAGAAGGCATGGCTTTCCCTGGAATCTTGCCCAGCTTCCTTGAGGAACAAAGGTGCCCGCCCACAGCATGAGCCCCGCCGGCCTGGGAGAGCGTCCCTCTTACCTGTTGGGATAGGTGATGGTGCAGGGCACTTTGCCTGTGTAATTCTCATTGAGCCAGCGATTGGCCAGTGCTTGTTGAATATTGGGCCTCTTCACAGGATCCGGTTCCAGGAGCGAGCGCAGAAAATTGATGGCGCCTGGAAGACATCGGGCCAAGAGCACATAGCAGGTTGGACACAGGGACACCCAGGGCAGCCACTCTCTGTCCCTTCTGACCCACCCTTGAACTCTCTGGGACATAGCCTGGCTAAAGCAGTCAGGTGGGGGTTTAAAACCCCATTTCTGGGCCCAGTGCAGTATCCTAGTGGCTAAAGTCCTCGCCTTGCACATGTCAGGATCCCATATGGGCGCCGGTTCTGGTCCCAGCAGCCCTGCTTCCCATCCAGCTCCTTGCTTATGGCTTAGGAGGGCAGTCGGGGACGGCCCAGGGCCTTAGGATCCTGTACCCACGTGGGAGACCTGGAGGAGTCTCCTGGCTCCAGGCTTTGGATCAGCTCAGTTCCATCCACTGCAGCCACCTGAGGAGTAAGCCATCAGACAGGGAATCTTCCTCTTTGTTTCTCCTCCTCTCTGTATATCTGACTTTACAATTAAAATAAATAAATCTAAAAAACAAACAAAAAACCCCATTTCCTCCTCTGTTTACAGGTCCAAAGAGTTGAAGCATTTCAGTCTAAGCAACACCATCACCTCATGTTGAAACAAGAACTGCTTTGGATCAGCCCAAGCCCTGTGAACCACAATACAACCTGTGTGGTTTTCCTTACTGTGGGTGGTGAACCACAGAGATGCTCTGGTCCTGGGCTTGGAGAGAGGAAAGAAAGCTCACAGCAGGTGCTTCTTCTCAAGGACTGACAGCTGCTAACCCCTCAGGAAAGGCCAGAGGGGGCAGGCTTGGAAACCGTACCTCCTAATTGGCTTTCACCATGGGTCCCCCACAAACACCGGAAGCCGGGGCTGTCCTGTTCTTGGTTCCCTCTGTCCAAGTCATTCTCCATGGCCACCCACTTCCTCCCCAGACCCTGTAAAGCAGAGAGGCGCCCAGCGGGCCCCAGGCTAATCACCAAGCCCACCGGCCTAATGTGCTGACCATGAGTCACCTGTTCTTGTTGGGGATCAGGACTCACATTTTAAGCTCCTAGATTATGTACTAAGTACCCTAAAGAAGCCACACATCCCTACTGTGTGTCGTCTGCCAGGTCCTAGCTTTGGTGCCCCCTGGACACAGTGTATGCGGAGAATGCTTGCCTGATTTATAAGGATGTTGTGGTCATATCAGTCCTGCTGGAGTTGATATAGAAGGAGAGGATGTGAGATGCTATAGGGAAAACTAAAAAATCCTTGTAACCCTTTCCTTCTATTTCAGGCAATATACATATATAAATTTTTTTAAAACCTCCTGGGTCTTCTTTCATGAGCAAACATTTACAGTATACCTGCTATCAACTCAAGCACCAGGATCTGGCACAATGGCTCCACAGGTTAATCCGCCCCCTGCAAGTGCCAGGATCCCATATGGGCACTAGTTCATGCCCTCGGTGCTCCACTTCCTGTCCCATTCCCTGCTTGTAGCCTGGGAAAGCAGCCGGTAGGCCCCAGCATCCCTGTGGGAAACCCGGAAAAGGCTCCTGGCTTCAACTCAGCTCTGCCTGTTGCAGCCATCTGGGGAGTGAACTAGCAGATGGAAGCTCTTTCTCTCCGTCTCTCCTCTCTGAAAATCTTCCTTTGCAGTAAAAATAAATAAGTCAGAGAGAGAGAAAGATATCAACCAGAGGTAGGAAACCTGTTCACCTTGAAACAGAACATTTGCATTTGGCGATTGTAACAATTCAGACAACAGCATATGGGGGTAAAATATTTGTATCACATGCAGGCAGGCCACAGGCTGCACACCTGCTCAGCGTGAGTCCACACACACACACACACACGGACACACACACACACATGGACACCGTGCCAGGGGGTCCTTCAAAATGCAGACAGCCTGTCCGAGTTGCACATGGCACCATGAACTCTTCTGTTTACTCCTCATTTCACAGCACATTCATGCAATGTCTCCGCCATCGAAAATCTTTTATGTAGTTTTGTGCAGGATATCCAATTTCCAATATACCACACAATAAATCCTGAAAAATAATCAGATGCTGCATGGTGCCCAATGTTTCTATCGCTCTCTCCAAAGCTGTTTTTCAATTTGCTAAAAATCTGGCATAGTGAGGAAAACCATAAAGAAAAAATCTTCACTTTCTGCAGGCTTTAAGTTGTCACTTTAATATCGTTCTTTAAAGCAAGATAGGCCTTCTGTCAGCCCCGTCCTCTGCAGGAGGATGCCAGCAAGGCCATCCAAACAGAAGCCAGTTTTGATGCCAGAACCAACTTAAGAGAAACTACCTTCGGGCCCAGCACGGTGGCGCAAGTGGTTAAGGTCCTCACCTTGCACACCTGGGATCCCATATGGGAGCCGATTCTATCTCGGCGGCCCCGCTTCCCTTCCAGCTCCCTGCCTGTGGCCTGGGAAAGCAGTCAAGGACGGCCCAAAGCTTTGGGAACCTGCACCCGCGTGGGAGACCCGGAAGAGGCTCCTGGCTTCAGACCGGCATAGCATCGGCCGTTGCGCTCACTTGGGGAGTGAATCATCGGATGGAAGATCTTCCTCTCTGTCTCTCCTCTCTGTATATCCGCCTTTCCAATAAAAAAAAAATAAAAATAAATCTTAAAAAAAGAGAGAGAGAGAAACTACCTTCGGCTAGGTTATGCCACCAAGGAACTCTAACTGGGTGGGTTTGCATGCAGTAACTGGGGTCAGGAGCAGGTCGCTCCACATTAAGGTTAGGGGCAGGTATTTGATACCAAAGTTGAGACACAGCCTGGGACACGAACATCCCAAACCCGAGTGCCTGGGTTCCGCTCTCAGTTCCAGCTTCCTGTTCCTGCACACTCTGGGAGACAGCAGCAGGTGCCCGCTCAAGCACTCAGGGTCTCTGTCAGCCCTGTGGGATGCCTGCATTGAGTTCTGAGGTCGCAGCTTTGGTCTGGCCCAGCCCTGGCCATCTGAGGAGTAAACCAACAGATACATCTCTCTCTCTCTGCTTTTGAAATAGATGAAAAAATTGTTTAAAAATGACAACAAATGAAGTGGATAAAAATACACATGCAGAAGCTGTCCCAGTCACGAGGTATGTTTAGCACTGTAAGCTCCGTGGCTGGATCTCCAAATAAAACTTGCCTGGAATGCCCTCCCAGAGGCCTGAAACCAAACAGACCTCCAGAAAAAGAGCCTCCTCTTTTTGGAAGCTATTTTCTTTCCTGCAAAATCTGTGCTTTGCAGTCACTGGATCTTACCTAGGGACATTTAGGGGGCCAAAAGAAAGATTGGCTTTCACCTTGGGTCCCTCACAGACACCGGAAGCCAGGGCTGTCCTGTTCTTGGTTCCCTCTGTCCAAGTCATTCTCCATAGCCACCCACTTCCTCCCCAGACCCTGTAAAGCAGAGAGGCGCCCAGGGGGCCCCAGGCTAATCACCAAGCCCACCGGCCTAATGTGCTGACCATGAGTCACCTGTTCTTGCTGGGTGACTTGCGACACGAAGGACCTGCAGGCCACTCTGGCACCCCCGCCCAGGGGGCTTTTCAGAGGTCAATTAGCCAGGAGAGTGGGAGACAAACCAAAGGCACATTTCTGCTCTATTTTCACAACCAAGTGCTCCACGTCTCCACAAACTGCTAAGGAACACAAGTAATTTTAGTTCAGCTCTCTCCTGGAAAATTTTATGGTCTTTAGACGTCACAAACATAGCATCGCTCACCAAAAGGCACTCTGAGGACATCATAAGAACTCTCCGGAGTTTGTGGAACGGCCCCGCAAACACTGAATCTCTGAGAGAAAAGGGGTGAGGTGAGGCACGCTGAGCATGATATGGTGGCATGTTGCCTTCCAAACTAACCCTTTCCGCCTTCAGAACCAGGTTGACCTCTGGGGCCATGAACACGTGTCCACGGTCCTGCAGTGCAAACCCCTGTCCTTCCTGAGCCCTGGAATGTCATGGCTGAGCACCGGATCACTGCATGCACAGGTGACAAGATGGAGCCCTTGGACTTGGAAGTTAGCCTCACTCAAAGCTGCTTCCTCATCGTCTCCTGGGTTAAGGAACTCTTTGATTCAATTGGGCTTTCGGGGAAGTCCCTAGCCGCCCTGGGTCAAGGCCTACGGTCTTCCTTCAGCATCCCAGGGGTGCATCCGGGGCATGCAGCCTGGCTCATGTGGAACAACCTTGTTCAGTGCACCAGACAGGCTGTCGCTCCCAGGCATGAGAGCAGAAGCTGAGAGTGAGGAATTCCTCAGCCGGGGAGGCATTCTGCCCCCCTGCCATGTGCAAGTCCCAGCATGTAGCAGGGGAAGCCATCTAGCAGAAAGAACCGAAGGGTCCCCCACAGCCGACTCAAGAGAGGACTGACTCTATGGAAGAAATTCCCACCGCAAACTGAGTATAATAATGATTCCTTTGTATTAGGATAGAGCTGATGTGATCATTACAAGTAGGACTGAGAATCAAGTGAATAAAGATGCGTGTTCACGAACACAGTAAAAGTGGCCTCTTTCCATGACGCTGACATTACCCATGACTTTTCAGTCACAGGTACAAGAGCAAATATCCCAAGCCTTAGAGCGCGAGGTCACCTTTTATACTCAACAAAACAAGGAAAGGGTCAGAAGTGCCCAGTACACTGGGAGATTCTAGTTTCACAGACTCAGACCCAGAGTCCTCGGAGGGAAGTCGGGAGTGACCGTGGCTCCTTCGCTGGGCTGTGTAACTACAACACGGAAAGCAACTACACACGGTCACTCAACAACAGCAATTCTGGTTCCTAGCATTTTCAGTTGTGCATGGATGGTGTCATCGGGGCTCAAAGCGGTGGTCAGATAGATACAGCCAGTGGGATGTGCAGAGTTTACACACAAGGCATCCCAGGCACCGCAGGTGCCACTCAGGCTAGAGACAAAAAGGATGCCTCAGGCTCCGCATAGTGCAGCTGGCCTCCTGTACTAGGTCAGCTCCCAGCCAGATTACCACCCAGGTCAGCAGCCTGGATCCCCACCTGGGAACCCCTGCCACCCACCAGCATCGCCTGTGATGCCTGGATTAAAGGCCTAAAGGCTGAATGGAGAAGAGAGAGTTCCATTGTTCCAGCTTCACTGCGGAAGAGAGAGAGAGAGACAGAGAGAGAGAGTGAGCAAGCAAGCAGGACACTAAATTCCTTCCCTGAGAAGGCAGGTCTAGAGATACAATTCACACTTGGCAAGTCAAGACAGCACCGGGCTGCAGGAATGTGGACTTGAACAGCCTTAAGCAGCACCTTCTGAGCTGAAGGGTGAAGGAGAAGTGCCAACTGGAGCCCTGTGAGGTCAGCTGGTTGCTGGCTCCAAGGGTGCTGGCACGCCCAGGGGGCATTTTTAATAGTCCTCCCTTGGAATTGCCTTTAGAATGTTTTCCAGTGTCTCAAAGGGCACACTTTCATGTCTCAGAGTTACACTTCTTTTCACCATTGAGAAACCACCGAGTGCAGCCTGCGAAGGTTGGCTTCTACCGAGTGCTTCAAACAGCCCAGAGGGCTGGGTGCTGAGGCACAGTGAGTAACAGCCCACGCTCCCTATCTGAGTGCTTAAGCCAAGTCCTGACTCTTTCACACTTCTCCTGCTCCCTGCTAACCTGGAAAGTTCTGGATGCTGGTCCAAACACTTGGGTTCCTGTCACTTCCCTTGGGGACTCAGAAGGGGCTGTTGTGGCTGTTTGGGCAGTGCATCAGCCAGAGAACCATCTTTCTCTTTCACTCAATCACTCCATCTTTCAAATAAATAAATAAAGTTCCTGGAATTAAGAGATAATTTTATTTTTGGTACCAGAAAATTGGAGCCCTTGCCTTGCATTTTCATAATATACACTTCTGGTGACCTCTCTGAAGACGCCTCAAAGGCATGCATTTCTACACACCAAAGCAAGCTTGTCTTTTAATTCCATTTTCCACCAACTTTTCAAAGAGCCATCTGATATAGCATTCTTGAAATGCCACAAGTACAGAGATGAGGAGCCCAGCAGCTGTTGGCAGGGGCAAGGAAAAGAGGGAAAGTGGGAGGGAGAAGGCGGCTGTGGCCTGCAGGTGCACAGGGGCAGCCGCACAGGGCATGTGAGTGATGGATGGAGACATCACACAGATCCACACATACGATACAGGTGCACAGAACTCAAGCCATGCCAGCACACACATGAACCTTGTGACATCTGAATGAGACCATCAGAGCTCACCCATGTTCATTATCTAGTGGTATTATTCTACTGTTTGGGGAAACTGGCTGAGGGTCTCTATTTTTTCCTTGCAACTGTGTGTGAGTTTACAATTATGCCACAATATGATTCTTAAACAGTTTTAAATTTTAATTGTTTTAAAGTTCTTTACTCACTACCCCATTATCACACGCATACGACTGACCATCACACTCTCATTTATCTGCTCATCGCATGTCCGCTGATGCCCCAACTTGGTAAGGAAGAAGAGCTTGAGGTTTGTCCTCTCTCGGCTTCCTGGCCCCTGGAACATGCTCACACATTACTGGCATACAGCACACAGGCATGGAGTGATTAGATGAAATGGAATACAGAGTAAGTGAACCAAGGACGCAGCACGTTGCACAGGGCTTCCCACACTTTCAGTAGTTCTGGAAGTTCCAAGACCTGACTACTGCAATCCTCAGGATCCCCAACTCCACCAGCTAGGGACCTCATGCAGGAGTCCTGTGCCTATCTTCCCAGGGACACTGTGCATGCCTGCTCAGCAGGTGGCCCTCCCAGACAAAGCTGAAAGCATGGCCTGGCTCTCACCGACAAATTCAAGGTCAGCCTCATTGATGCTTTGTAACATGAAGAGAAAAATGTGTAACAGTAGTAAAAAAAAAAGTGCTGGAGTTTAGCCTAGCATCATAAACTGAAGCTAAATATATATAAATACATATGAATATATATATGCCTATGTATACATATGCACATGTGTGTATATACATCTATCTATACACATGTGTATATGGATGGGTGGGTGAGTGTGGGTGTGTGTAGATACAGATATTAGCCAAAAGCTTTACCTTGGTAAAAGTGAGTTTATTCTAAGGAACCAATTAAATGCCTATCAAAGCCAAGCTAAGGCCAAGAACCTAAAGTGAACTGCAAACCAAAGATCAAATTGTACTAATCCACTGGCTGTGAAACCCAAACCCTAATTCAAACTGTTTACTGAAATAGGAGCCAGCTTAAGTTCAAGAGAACTTTTACAAACACAGCTGAGAATTCAGTGTGATGAAGCCACCGAACCACTGTTGTATTTAAAACCTTCTCAACATGCTCAAAAACTCAACAAACCAAGAACAGGCCTCAGCTGAATGCAACTAGCATTTCTTCCCAGTAAGTTGACCAGAGAAGACATAATAGACATGTGATTCTACACCAAGCTTCTCCAAGTCAACACTGCAACAGCCCAAGTCCCCAGACAATCAAGCCTGCAATTATTTTTCAAGTGGAGAACACAAGAGCGCCCTGGGCTGTGTCCAGGCCAGAAGCAGGAAGGAGGAAGTTAGGGATTGGGGGTGATCATGGGACAGGTAAGCATGCAGGTGGCAGGTGGGGTAGAAAGAGTAGCTGTGGGCAGAGGCAGAAACCAGCCACCTCTTGAGACACAGTGTCTACAACAGGAAAGACACTTGAAACCCTGGGAGAGCCAGGCACCACTGCTGCGCTAGCCACCCCTCCCCATGATGTCACTCCATGTAGTCTCAGTTACCTGTGACCAGCCATGAACCAAAGACACTCAATGGAAAATTCCAGAAGTAATGCATAAAGTAGCCTTTACTAGGTATTTTGTTACATGGATTCTCCTTTGTTAGGCAGTGGCTATGGATCTCTATCCTAGGCAGACATGCATAGGAGAAGACACAGCACATGTCCACTCCTCTGGGTTGCAAGCATCAGTGGAAGGCTTTGGAATACATCCTCCCACGGACACGAGGGGCTTGCTGTAATCACTTCAAAACAGGCCCTAACTAGTCAGGACAGAAAGATGCAGAGGGAGCAGCCAGAGGCGTTACCTGTGGAGAGCTGGGTGGGGAGGGGGTTCATTTCTTTGTCCACCATCTTCTGGTACAAAGCCCTCAGGCTGAAAGGCTCCACAGTGAAGGGCAGGGTCCCGGTCAGCATGGCGTACATGTTCACACCTCTGAAAGGAGAGACAGCAAAGTGTGAGACCAGAATAGGGCTCTCCAGTGGAGGTGCCGGGGCTGGGAGCAGGAGGGAGGAGCAGGAGCAGGAGGATAAAGGCTCGGCAACAGCTCTGGGCAGACACCTTGATGGCAATCACCAGCAGGCCCTCAGCCTCATCATCTTTCCAGAACTTTCAGCATCACCTTGAAGGCGTCAAGGGGGTAGGACTGAGAAGATCAGGACAATGGACCAAGGAGATGGGAGGGATCGAAGTGAGGAAGTTGTGTCCCTTCTCTCTCAGTGATGCACAGAGCAAGCATCGTCAACGCAAAACCCACACACCAAGTAACTGTGAGCTCCACTACAACACCACTGGCGTAACATTCCACCCCTGGCTCTGTAAGGGGTTGTGCTCAAAACCCAGGCAGCCTCAAAACACTGCTTAGGTAAACATGAAGCACAAATGAACATCAGGTCTGGGTCCTGGCCCCAGTCCTGAGATACCTCATTATGTACATACACACAAAAATTCCAAAATCTGGAAGACAAAAATCTACAACACTCTGGCTCCTGGTAGGCAGAACCAACTAGGGCAAGCAGAGACCAAGCTGACCAAAATGAAACCCAGACCAAATGACAGGCGGAGAGTCTCATAAGCGTTAGGGATCATGCCAACAAGTGTCTTGCTGTGATGTGGTTTTTCAAGCATAGTATACAGCACGTGACACCTAGAAGAGGCCAGAACAAAAGTCACAGGGTCTGCCCCATAAGGCAGGGCCAGTTCCAGCCAGACTAGGTGCCCAGTTACCCCTCAGTCCCTCAAAAGAAAATTTCCCTGAAGTTTTGCCTGGATCTAGAGAAACTGCTCATGCCAGAGGGAGGGAAGAGGTTTCTTTTTCTCGCCCTTATACTCTGACACTCAGCTCCTGGCCCGGGCGTCTCCATGGTGGTTGTGAACGTTCTGGGTGGGCTGCCCGGCTTCTGCCCAGCACCGGCGTAGAGGACAGCAGCATCTTCCCGGAGGGTTTTTCTGTTGCCAAGCGTGCCAAGTTAACATCATTTGGAAGACATTTCCTGGTAGGGATGCAAATGCCGGCCTGCCTCCAGGTCCCAAGTGTTCAAAGACCCCCCAGGGGAGGGGGATTGCACTGTAAACACATGCCACAGGACTTCCAGTCAAAACAAATCCTACTGAGACAGACAGAAATGAAGGCCGTGGAGGTCCAAAGCCGTGGAGGCGCCCCTGAATGACAGCATTCCAGGCCCTGACACATCCCAGAGCCCGTGAGTTAAGCTCCAGCTCACTCTCAAATTGCAGACCTCCGCCGAGGCTCGATCCTGCCTCTGGAGCTCACAGCAGAGACAGGCATATAAACACCCACGCCACCAAAGTCTGCTGGACAGCCCTCCTTGGGCAAGGTTACAGAAGAGGGCTCAGGGAGGCTGCACACCATAGGTGCCGCATAGGGCAAGAGACACTTGTGGAAACACACAAGCAAATAAGCACGGCCCTTATCAGCAATGAGGAGGACTCAGGTAGTAACAAAAGGCTGGACCATACTACCTGTGTTCACAAGAGGAGTTCAGCGGGGAGACTGAACTCCTCACAAGAGACAACTCTGTGAGTGTGTGTGTGTGAGAGAGAGAGACAGAGAGAGAGGGACAGAAAGTGGGCTTCTGTATGTTTGGCTGTTGGATGTGAGGATGCTGCAATGGAACGTGTAAACCAGGAAATGAAAACAAGAATGAACATGGCAAGCACACAGGCAAGTAGATCACTTCTGTGTGTGTCTACTCCAGATACAGACAGATGTGGGTAAGTGAGAGTCCTGGAGTGGGCAGCTCACCTACATCAACAGAAGCAGCACAGAATGGGGGCACAGAAGAGCTCGGCGGGAGATCCAGTGCATTGCTCTTGCGAGTTGGGAAGGAAGTCAAGGCTTGCAATGGGAAGAGACAAGCAGAGCAGACACTTATTTGGAGGACAATTGCTGGGTGGCAAACCTGGGGCACGGACCCTTCGGTAGGAATACTAACAGGACCAAAGGAAGCTGGGAGAGCCCATAGGGGGCAGGAGGAAGGAAGGAGAAACAGGAGTGATGATGGGTCCCAGAAGCAATGGGGCCACGATGCACTTCGAAGTTTTGGGGCAGAATTCGATGTTCCTTACTTTGGATGCTTCCTCAAGATCGGTAGGAGTTTGGAAAGTTCAAAGGCTGCCCCTATGTCACAGAATTTCTGCCAAGAGGCCTGGGACACACAGGTGCAACAGCTGCAATGTATCTCTGACAAAAAGATCTTAGGGGACACTGAGTGGTCCCCAACCTCTCAAGGCTGCCCCATGTCATACAGGGCAGTGAGGATGGGCTTCCAAGGCCACTGTCCACAGTGTCTGCCCACTGGCTCCGGAACACCTGCTCTTCCAGGGCCAGCATGTTATTGATGTGCAAGCTGGACCTGCGACCTTCACACCCCAGAGCCTTAGTACATCATGCAACAAGGTCAGGCTAATCCTCTGCCTGCAGCACCAAAATCCCATAAGGGTACTGGTTCAAGTCCTGGTTGCTGCACTTTCAATCCAGCTTCCTACTTAGGACCTAGAAAAGCAGCAGAGAATGGCCCAGGAACTTGGGCTCCTGCACCCACTTGAGAGATCTGGAAGAAGCTTCTGGCTTCTGGTTTCAGATCAGCTCAATTCCAACCATTGTGGTCATTTGGGAAGTGAACCAACAGAAAAAAGGTCTCTCTCTTTCTCTTTCCTTCTCTCTGTAACTCTGCCTTTCAAAAAAATTAATAATTCTTTGGGAAAAAAAATCCAATATCTGAGCAGGATCCGAGGAAGTTGAGCCAAAGGGCAAAAATAAAGAACAAAGGATTCATTTCCTGTTCACTTCTGGCGGCCTCAGACTGGACTCTAATATCCACACTCACACCTGAAGAGGGTGGTCTTTTCCTGCAGGTAAGGAGCAGCAAGTTGGATAGGAAGTGGAGCAGCTGGGGCATGGACCGGCGCCCATATGGGATCCTGGCACACGCAAGGCGAGGATTTAGCCACTGAGCCATCACGCCAGGCCCTATGATGAAGATTTTGAACTCCCTCATGTTGGAGAACAAAGCTTCCTGGTGGTTGGACTACGACATTGGATCCCAACAGGTGGTCCTCGGGGTACCGCAGTTTGTTAGAAATACCTGTTCCTGGGTCCCCCTGCAGACTGACTCAGAAAGCCCTGGGAAGGGTCCTGCGGTCTGCACTGGAAGAAAGCCCTCTCTAGGCGCTTGTGCCCACACCCATGTCTGAAGTTACTGGAGGGTGGGGGTGGAGAAGTGACAGGCGGGCTGGGTCATTCCAGCAGAGAGAATCCGACACATCCAGGTACAAGGATTCTGCTCCCACCACACACGAGCCATCTGATCAAAGGAACACTGCAAATTCGAATGTTCTGGGGGAGGAGGTTTCAGTCTCAGTAATATTTAAATTTGTTCCAGGTTTTTTAGCTGTCCAGAGCCATCCGGTTAATTCTACATTCCTGCACCTGGAAGCTCCATTTCAATGACCCCGCAGTGAGCAAGAATGCTTTTCCTTTTACTGGGTTGGGGAACGTCCAGCTATACAAGGGCCACAAAATCATTTGGTCTGGTCCTGCCAAGACAAATTGCAAGATGGGACGCAAAACTCAAAATATTCACAGCAGGCTGATTTTCGAGTTGAGAATTTTCTTTTTTCTTTTTAATTTATGTTTTATTGGAAAGGCAGATGCACACAGAGGAAGAGAGACAGACAGGAAGATCTTCCGTTTGATGGTTCACTCCCCAAGCGGCCACACAATGGCTGGAGCTGAGCCAATCCAAAGCCAGGAGCTTCCTCCGGGTCTCCACGCGGGTGCAGGGTTCCAAAGGTTTGGACTGTCCTCGACTGCAATCCCAGGTCACAGGCAGGGCAAGCAGGGCTGCTGGGATTAGAACCGGCGCCCATATGGGATCCTGGCATATTCAAGGAAAGGACCTTAACCACTACACTATCTACAAATGGTTTTTTTTTTTTTTTAAAGATTTATTTTTATTATTTTTTCATTGGAAAGGCGGATATACAGAGAGAGGAGAGACAGAGAGAAAGATCTTCCGTCTGATGATTCACTCCCCAAGTGAGCGCAACGGGCCGATACTATGCCGATCCGAAGCCAGGAGCCTCTTCTGGGTCTCCCACGCGGGTGCAGGTTCCCAAAGCTTTTGGGCCGTCCTCGACTGCTTTCCCAGGCCACAGGCAGGGAGCTGGAAGGGAAGCGGGGCTGCCGGGATTAGAACCGGCGCCCATATGGGATCCCGGGCGTGCTAGGCGAGGACCTTTAACCACTTGCGCCACCGCGCCGGGCCCTACAAATGGTTTTAAAAACATCAAAATAGCCTTCACAGAAAATTGGTTCCCCAATCCTGCTTTGAAAGGATGGTGTATGGGTCTGATGCTGCGGTATATTGGGTAAAGCCTCTGCCTGCAATGCCAGCATTCCACATAGGCGCCAATTCACACGCTGACTGCTCCACCTCTGACCCACCTCCCTGATTGTGGCCTGGAAAAGCAAGGGAGGATGGCCCAGGTGTGTGAGCCCTTGCACCCACGTGGAAGTCCTGACTCCCACTGTGGTCATCCAAGTAGTTAACAAACAGATTGGAAGAGCTCTCGCTCTCCTTTTCTCTATGATTTTACTGTTCAAATAAAAATAAACATTTCTGGAAAAAGAACGCTACAAAGGAAAAAAAAGATGATAAACCTTTCAAATCCCCATGGATTTGTTTTTTTTTTTTCCTCTGCAATATGCATAGCAGCACAGGTAAGCATAACACATGCTTATTTATCTTAAAAATGGCACCAGGGCACTGTGGGATCAACCTGGGATGCAGCAACTAGCTTCTATAGGAATTCTGATGATTAAACAGACTCCAGAACCCCATTGCTCTGAGATGAATTCATCGTCAACAGAAATCACCATCCTTAAGAAAGAGGACTTCGCTTTCTCTCTG